ACCTGGACACTCCTAAGATTTTGTTACCAATATTTAGGTTGACATAAATATAGACTCATTCATCTGTACTGCAGATGCAGTCTTCGTAAAGTTTAAACAAAGGTATCAGTTTCCATTGTAAAATAGAGATGCTGGTAGTCATTGGATGCCGATTATTTATGGCCAATAGGCCACTCTTTAATATTCTAGCACACTTCCCAAAACTGATAATGTACTCATTTGCATTTAATACACTCCAATTGACGTAGGACAATCAATGAGCCTTCTCTGTGTGGAGCTCATGGAATTTTCAAGCTTATGTTGTATTTTGTTGTTATTATAAAAATATTTTGTTAATGAATCAGATATTGGTCTGAAAAGAAAGTAACGTGTTAGGGCTACTTAAAAGTTGTAGAAATATCAAAAAACTATTGAAAATTAAAAAAAAAAATTACTTGTTGGTGAGGTTGAGGAGAAAAAGGAACGCTTACACACTGTTGATGGGAGTGTAAATTAGTTCATCCATTGTGGAAAACAGTGCAGAAATTCCTCAAAGACTTAAAAACAGGACTACTATTTGACCCAGCAATCCATTAATGGGTATGTACCCAAAGGAATACAAATTGTTCTATCATAAAGACACATGCATATATATGTTCACTGGAACATGATTCACAATAGCGAAGACATGGAATCAAACTAAATGCCCATCAATGGTAGACTGGTGTGTGTGTGTGTGTGTGTGTGTGTGTGTGTGTGTGTATCTCTCATGGGATACTATGCAGCCATATAAAAGAATAAGATCATGTTTTTTGCAGGGACATGGATGGAGCTAGAGGCCATTATACTTAGCACAACAATACTATGGCAGAAAACCAAATATGGCATGTTCTTACTTATAAGTGGGAGCTAAATGATGAGAACATGTGCACACATACGGGAGAATGACAAATACTGGGGCTATCAGCGAATGGCAAGTCGGAGGAGGGATAGGATCAGGAAAAAATAACGAATAGGTACCAGGCTTAAAACCCGAGTGATGACATAATTCATGCCACAAACTCCCATTGTTATTGAAGGGGAGGATGTGACTGGAGGGATGATTCCTTCCCTGATCAGGTGTGCCTGAGGTTCTTGGGTCTCACACTCACCCATGAATGGGGGAGTAGACTCCACCAGTGACATTGAGCTCCTTAGAGTAAATATCGGACCCAAAAAGTTTTATAGAAAAGTGATTTATTTTTTTTTGGTGGGGGGAGAGAGGAGTGAGAGGGGATCCAGAAAGATGGATTCCATGCTGAGGTGGGAGAAGGGGACTTTTAACCTGGGAGGAATTCCCGCCTGCTTCAGGAGTTTTCTTAAACTTCCACTGGAGTGATTGATTATTTTCCAGTTTAAGCAAAGAAGACTAACCTCCCGGATGGAGAACTGGGGGAAGGTTTGGCCTGGGAAGTTCTTGCCTTTGAAACTGCGCCCCCTTGTGGACCCAGGGAGAGAATACGTTCCCTCACCATGACATAGGTTTACCTACATAACAAACCTACACGTCTACCAATGAACCTAAAAGTAAAAAAAAAGTAGTTGTTTAAATTATTCTTCTTACTAGATTGGTATAAGTCTACTATAAAATGGTGATGGGATAATGGATTTCTAAATAATTATCCCTTCCTATTTCTTCATGTAAGTTTTCAAGTTTTCAGTTGAATTTAAGGATAACCAAATTAGAAATCTGTTAATTGTGTGAGAAAATATTCACTATCCTTGCACAGATCCATGTTCAAATGTTAGTACTATGTCAGATGTTAAGTAAAGTAAACTCCCTTATTTCTTTTAAAATAAAATCAAATATTTAAAATACGTATATGTCATTTTAGCGATTTCCTATCAATCACACTTTAAAATTAGGGGAATTTGTGTATTTTTATTTTATTCATGCTTTTATAGGTCTTTATAAGATTTATTATAGTATATTTAAAATACTATAAAATAAAAACAATAAAAATAGTACTGAATTGGGAGTAAAGAGAAGCCTCTTCATTGACAGTTTGACTTTTTATAAACCATATTACTTCTATGAATTCAAGGTCCTTCTCTTTAAAATGGTTAGATTGAATTAAGTAATACTCCACTAACACTGGACACCAAAAATTTATTTACACGTGTCATGGCAATTTGAAAATCTTCGATTTTCAATTCATTTGTATTTGTGCAGATAATGTTTTGGAGTTGATGATGTTATAGACAAGAAGAAGAACCATATATTAAAAAAATATTTGGAACATACCTGTGTCTCTCTAAGTAGAGTAGGAAGTTTTGAAGAGGAAAAGGAATGTTAGTTTCAGGAGTTAGGCTGTGTGTGTGTGCGTGTGCGTAAATTTTCACCTGGCAAATTCTGGGATATGAAACCAGAATTACATAGCTGTTGTGATGCCCTGAAGAAACGGTAAAAAATTCAACTGTGAACAAACAAAACGTAAGTGTCAAGTTCAACTTCACTTAAAACTAGAAATTGCATCTCTCCTGAAACCTTGTCTGGGTTACCATTTCTTCAAGGCTTTCTATTGAATTTCAACCCTCTCTTTTAGTATCTTAATTGAAATAATTTAGAGTAAGCACTTTCCTTGGCAACTATTTTGCATTCAGAAAATGACATAGAATAATCAATGAGGCTTCTGTGTGTGGAGCTTGCATTCTGGTTGGGAAGACAGACAGTAGCTAACATGATTAGGTAAAATATCTGATATGTGGTACATACTGAAAAGTATAAATGAGGAAACAAAATAGAGAAAAGGAATGTGTGGGATGGTATACTTTAAGAAAGGCCATTCGAAAGGTTCAATGGGAGGTTGATATTTGAGTGAAAAAAGTGAGGATCTGCATGTATAGATTTCAAGGAACAAAATTCAAAAAGCTCTACAAGCAGAAACATCAACAAAGGCAAAAGCTTGATTACAAACATGCCTGGCTTTCCAGAGGAGCTGCAAGTGTCACAGTTGGCAGATTGAACAAGGGGCAAAATTGTAGATGAGGCCAAAGAATTAAGTGTGTGTGGACAGACAACTTGCTACAGGGCTGTTCAAAAAGTAAACCATATATTAGTTGCCACGATAAATAGAGACACTGAAGGAAAGTGTTTAAACACTTTCATAGCTATTGGACATTTCCATGACATCTGAACATGTGATCACTAAACTTGAATTTCTATGCCTTCAACTTTTCCGTTAATATCTATCATCTTATCTATCCGTCCATCTAATCTATTTATTATCTATCTATCTATCTATCTATCTATCTATCTATCTATCTATCTGTCTATCTATCTATCTATATCTTTACAATAGCATTAGTCCATGAAAACTAGGGGGAAAATTATTCTTTGTCCCCCAGGTAGTTTAAGAAGCACTGATTTAGGAGACATTAACTTTCTTTGAGTGTGACGGGGAGCAGTTGGTGTTTAAGGGGAGAAGACATAGAGGACGACTTACTTATGAAAGGATCTTTCTGGCTTCTGTTGGAAAATGACCAAAGGTGGAGCAGGAGATGAAGCACAGACATGAGTCAGGTGGATACTGGACAAACATGTGAGGGAGGATGGTGATCAAGGCACCGTGGAAGTGGTGGAAGAAGTCAGATATGCTCTGGTTCTGGATAAATGTTTGGAGCCAGAAAAAGAGGAAGTTTTGAAAGATTACATATGTAATGTAAAGAGAGAGAGAGAGAAATCAAGGATGACTCAAAGGTCTGGCCAGAGCAAGTAGAAGAAATTGACATTTACTAGGCTAGAATAGATTGTGAGAGCAGCAGTTTCGGCTGGTGAATGAAAAACAGTATGCAAATCAATAATAGTTCAGCTTAGGAGATATTCATCATGGAAGACCCATATACAGCCTACTGAAGAATGTTAAATAGAAACTGACTTTAAGCAAGAGACAATGTGAAGAAAGTACTGAAATTAATGTTTGCAATAAAAGCATTAAATTGTGAAAACTTAAATGATTATCATTTCAAATAAATACAAAGGTATTTTTGATTGGTTGCTTAGCATATCCTGAAGTACAGTGCTAAATTCCATATTATGCATTTTCATATTTGGTTTCTTTAACAGTCTTAAAGGCAATCATCATTTTTCCAGATTTTTTGGATTAGAGACTGATGCTAAGAAAATTAAGCATTTTGCCTAAGAGAATATATATGATCAATAATATGAAAAAGAAAATACAGTATATATTAAGTTCTTAGTAAATAGTCATTAAAGGCTACCATTATCACTTATTTACAAAGAATAAAAATTATAAACAAATTATTTAGATCTTGCATAAGCTTTTAGAGTTTATAAATGATGGTGACACAATTTCAAAGCCATTGATAGGCCAACATATGAAACAGTCATCCTCACTGCTTCATCTGGAAGAGCAAGTATTCACAATAAGGTACTTTATGTTCTAGAACTCAGGTATTTATTTCCCACTGTCGCTGGCTATTCTATTAAATTTATTTCTTCACACTTGTGCAAGAATCAGAATCATTGGGAGGGTTTACTATATAATGATTGCTAGATTCCATGCCCATAAGTTCTCATTTGGTTTTTCTGGGATAGAGCCTAGTAGTTTAAATTTCTTACAAGCTCCCTGCTGCTGCTTATGCTGCTGGTCTGAGAAACACATTTGATAACGCTGCCTTACTGTATGGAATATTTATATATAATGTTATGAAATCCTCAGTTTTCTAATGCATATAGTTTAAAATAATCATGTCAGGGCTCACACATTCAAAGAAAGGCCACAAATCCTTGAATTTCTTATCAAAGTGATTCTCTGGCTTCTTCCTCTTTAAGACAGGGCATCCTTTCTGAAGGAGACAGGTCAAACAACAATGACAATTTTATGAGAAGTGAAATCATGCTGACAGCAGGCAGTTTCTGTCAAGCAGAAAAGGGGTGTCACACTCAATTAGCTCTTTGGAACTATGGTGAAAGGAGCCAGGAGAATAGCTATATTATGAACTCACTTTTTTCTTTGTAGTTCAAAAGATATATGAATGAAAAGACTATACAAAGGATGGCTACAGAAAAAAGGAGAATGCAAAGAATGTGAGGAATTGAAATACTAATGAAAAAGGTGGGGAATACTTACTTCTCTATAAAAATATATATTAATGTAGTTTGCCTGTACATGTTATCATTCGATGATATACCAATTTCATAGTCATATTTTTTCCTTAAATTGTCATTATTTACCTATCTATTTTTTCAATTTGGCTGAAAAAAACTTACATTAGATTTTATAATTCACTCTACATCAGTTGTAGGCAGTGCTAAGAATGAAATCTATCTAATGTGCTTTAACGCTTCCATCATTGGACATTCTGCTAAATTTCTCACATAATAATTCCTGTGGAATCTTTAATAGTGTTTCAACAAAAATATTCCTGAAGATGCTCTTTTTCAATGCCTCTAGATTTTCTTCAATAGCTATAACCTCTGATTTTTTTATTTCCTCCATCTCTGGTCTTCCAGGAAATAAATGTATAGAACATACCTTCCAAAATTTTTTTATATTGCTCTACTGTCAAAAAGATAAACTGTATTAGTGACATGATTAAAATTGAAGTTGCTAGAATGTGTTTTTAAAATGCTCAGTTTAACAGGCAGTCATTAAAATGTTCATATTAATTAACATCTCTGTAGATTATAATATACTGTAATGGCATTAAATAATCTAGGCTGGCAGCCATGTTGAATGAGTAAATTCTCATTTCAGCTACATTTAATTAAACAGATTTCCCCAAATATAAAGTGTACAAGGATCCAGATTAGAAAGTTGGTAATGATTATTTTCATGAGATCCCATAGGAAGTATGAGATGACATTGACTATTGGCATTTTAAAAGGTTTCAAAGAAAGATTGCTAGAATTTATTCCTGGGATGCAAGGATGATTCAACATACATAATCAATTGATGTGATGCATCATATCAAAAGAATAAAGGATAAAACCATGTAATCATTTCAACTGATGTGAAAAAGCATGTGATAAAATTCAGCATCCTTCATTATGAAATCCTGAAAAAACTGGAGATAGAAGAAACATACCTCAACATAATTAAAAGCCATATATGACTAACCCAGAGCTAGTACCACACTGAAAAATGGAAAGTGTGGTACTAGCTGTGGGTTAGTCTAGTTTCCCAAAAATGGGGAAAAAATGGAAATCCTTTCTTTTAAGAACTAGAACATGACAAAGATGCCTATTTTTACCACAGTTATTCAACACAGTACTGGCAGTCCTAACTAGAGCAATCAGTCAAGAGAAAGAAAGGACATCCAAACTGAAACAAAAGAAGTCAGATTATCCTTGTTTGTAGACATGATCTTGTATTTGGGAAAACCTAAAGATACCAACATAAATACTAGAACTAATTTTAAAAGGTCAGTAAAGTTGCAGCATATTAAGTAAAAAGTCAGTAGCATTTCTAAATGCCAACAGTGAACAATCTAAAAAAAAAAATTAAATATCTCACTTAAAATAGCCACAAAAAAATTACATACCCAGGAATTAACCTAAGCAAAAAAGTGAAAGTTCTCTATAAGGAAAAGTATAAAAAACTAAAGAAAAAAACTGAAGAGGACACCAAAAAATGGCAAAGTATTTCATGTTCAGGGTTTGGAAGATTAAATATTGTTAAAATATCCCTACTCCCCAAAGCAATATATAGATTCAATGCAATCCCTATCGAAATAAGAATGACAAATTCTGCACAGAAATAAAAACCAAAATCCTAAAATATATGTGGAACCCCAAAAGACCCAGCATAGCCAAAGATATCTTAGGTAAAAAGAACACAACTGGAGGAATTATATTACCTTACTTTGAATTATATTACAGAGGTATAGTAACCAAAACAGCATGGTACTGAATAGTAAAAAATAATAAATAAATAAACATAGACCAATGAAACAGAATAGAAAACACCGAAACAAATTCATGTAAGTTCATCTGTAGCGAACTTATTTCAACAAAGTTTCCAAGAACGTGCACTGTGGAAAAGACAGTCTCTTCAGTAAATGGTACTGGAAAAACTGGATCTCCATATGCAGAAGAATCAAACTAGACATGTATCTCTCACCTTATACAAAAGTGAAATCAAAATCAATTAAAGACTTAAATCTAAGGCCTCAACCTATGAAACTACTACAAGAAAACATTGGGAAAAATCTCCAGGACATTAGTCTTGGCAAATATTTCTTGAACAATACCTCACAAGCACAGGCAACCAAAGCGAACATGGACAAATGGGATCAAATGAAGTTAAAAAGCTTCTGCTTAGAAAAGGAAACTATCAACAAAGTGAAAAACAACTTCCCATCTGACAAGGGATTAATAACCAGAGTATACAAGGAACTTAAACAACTCTATGGGGAAAACATCTAATAAAAGTGGGCAAAAGATTTGAATAAACATTTCTCAAAAGAAGACATACAAATGGCAAACAGGCATCTGAGAAGGTGATGAATATCACAGCTCTCTAAGCATTTGTGAGAAAGATATCTAAGAATGGGATATCTTCTCACTCCACATAAAATGGTTTACATTCAAAAGACAGATGATAACAAATACTGGTGAAGATGTGGAGAAAAGGTAATCCTTGTACCCTGTTGGTAGAATGTAACTTAGCACAATCAGTATGGAGAACAGTTTCGAGGTTCCTCAGAAAATTAGAAATTGAGTTACCATATGATCTAGCATTCCCACTGCTGGGTATATCCTCAAAAGAAAGAAAATCAGTATATCAAAGAGATATCTGTGCTCCCATGTTTCTTTCAGCATTTTTCACAATAGCTGATATTTGGAAGCAATGTGTCTATCAGCAGAAGAACAGATAAAGAAAATGTTGTTCATAACACAATGGAGTACTATTAAGCCATAAAAAGAATTAGATCCTGTCATTTGCAACAACATGGATGGAATTAGAGGTCACTATGTTAAGTGAAATAATTCAAGCACAGACACAAACGTCACATCTTCTCACTTATTTGTGAGACCTAAAAATCAAAACAGTTAAACTCATGGACATAGTATAAGGATAGTTACCAGTGGCTGGGAAGTGTAGTGGGGTGCTGGCAGAGACAGGTAGAGGTAGTTATTCATACTTTAGAAAGTATGAATAAGATGTACTATTTGATAATATGACAGGGTGAATATAGTCAATGATAATTTAACTATACATTTAAAAATACCCAAAAGAGTACATTAGATTGCTTTTTACACAAATGATAAATGCTTGATGGGATGAATGGATATTCCATTTTTTATGTGATTATCTCACATTGCACGCCTGTATGAGAATGAACATCTCAGCTATCCCATAAATATATACACCTATTATGTGCCCACAAATATTAAAAATTGGAATATTTAAAAAGAATAATTAGTACAAAGAAAGACTGATAAACACTGGAGATCAGAAACCACAAATTTAAACTGTATCATGGTTAGCTAGGCTCAAAAAAAAAAAAACAGGAAAAAATATGATTGGTAGGATTAACAAAAGGCTATTAACATATATGATTCTACAGAATATAGAAACGTTTTAAAGAAATAAGATGGCTAAATGTGCAGTTAGCTACAATTGTGGTTGAATAAAAAATACTTAAAAAAAAGGAACTAGGAGCTAAAATTAAAAGAGTAGCATATGAAAGAGTGAGAGTATTTACAAGCTTGTGAAAGCCAAAGAACAACAGAGGTAGAAATAAGAGATTAAGAAAAGTAGAAAGTTAGGAATTTGTTATGAAGGTTCAATGAGTTTTTTGAAATTATGTAAAACATTACTGATATGGTTTGGCTGTGTCCCCATCCAAATCTCAACTTGAATTGTATTTTCCAGAGTTCCCACCAGTTGTAGGAGGTACCCAGATGGAGGTAATTCAATCACGGGGGCCAGTCTTTCCCATGCTATTCTTGGCAGTGAATAAGTCTCCTGTGATTTGATGGTTTTATCGGGGGTTTCTGCTTTGCTTCTTCCTCATTTTGTTTTGCCACTCTCATGTAAGAAATGCCTTTCACCTCCCACCACGATCCTGAGGCCTTCCAGTCATATGGAACCGTAAGTCCAATTAAACCTCTTTTTCTTCCCATTGTTGTGTATGTCTTTGGTACCAGTGTGAAAATGGACTAATACAGTTATGGTATAATCAAATTCTAGATTGAGATATGACCAAATGAGCAAAGGAGAGAAAGTTCTTGGAAGGTGTGGAAAACAGGACATAGAAGTTAGAGTGGTATTGAGACTATGAAACAAACACATTCATTTCATCATCTACAAAGACATGTAAGTCATCTGTGATGATGGCAGGAAAGTAAATTGTGACCCAGAGTCCAGATTTTAGTCAGTTTGGACCCATTTCTGTAGGTTTAGAGAATTATGCTAGTGAAAATGAACTGAAGATGTTATTATCTGAAGAGGTAAACCTAGAAATGGGAACAATGCATATGAATGGTAGCACCAGATCAGCTTGGGACATTAGGAGCATAGGCTACAGGAAAATTAGCAGTCTTCTATAGATGAGCCACAGGAGAAAGAGTGACCTCAGGAGAGATCTATATTTTACTTCTGGCAAAGAGAACAGCCAAATTATTTGTTAGAAGATGTTGTATGTGATGAGGATGGGGAAGGTTCTTTACAATGTAACTAAAGTATCTGGGTATAGAATTCTATGACATTATAGATGAGATTTGCATTTAGGAGCATTCCAAAAAGTAGCAGTAATGAGAGGTTTCAGGCAGATTCAGGCTGGGGAACCAAATGTGAAATCTTAAAAAATTCATGGCTTGCTGTTAAGACCTTCTGAAAGTTCAAGAATTCTTAGAGCTTTCAGCCAGATTGGTCTGCTAACTGGCCATGTGGCCTTAGATAAGACTTTTAAGATCTGAGCATGGATTTTCTCTGCATTTTGCTCCAACTGAAGCCAACTTTGTGCATCAGACAAGGGAGCTGCTGTTCCTCACAGTCTGCCCTGCTTAGCCATGTGTAATTTTTCACAGTGGAGTTGGGACGCAATGGGGAGAGCAGCCTGTGATTAACATAGTAAACACTACAATTGTTCTGACATTTAGGAGATATTTTGAATATGTGTTGCTAAATTAGCCTTGTCATTTTGCAGTCTTCAAATCGTGTTTTTGAGAATGTTTTCAGTTTTTCTTCTGGCTGTTCAGGAAAGAATCTGCTGAGCTCCTCACTCAGTTATCTTCAAAGTCCCAACCAATAGCCATTTCCCTTTATTGGATCTCCATCAGGAAACTCTTTTGGTCAAAGACTTATCCTGAACAAAAACCTTGTAGTTTTAGAAGAAAACAGACTTTGGGAATTAATTCCCAATGGTGAGTGAGTAAACTGCTGCCTGGTAACATGAAATCCTCACTTCAGCAGGGCTTTCACAATATCCTTATCTTATCCCATAGTTCCTGATGGCTTGTGCTGTCGGTGTAAGTTAAGGCAATATTTGTCTTGGAGAGAAAAATTCCAGCTAAAATGTTTTCCCTAACTTGTATTTTTAGCATTGTTTCACAACCCCCTCTGCCCCATGTTGCAGTCCTCATTTTTACACAAACACCAATTCATGATTCTTAACTACTTCTAGAGGCCTTTACTGATTTCTTTATTGATTTGCTTTGAGCATTTTGTGGTTGTTATTAAATCTTCATATTCTTGCTCCTATTTGGATTCTACATTTTAAAAATTTATTAATTTAATTTATTAAAAATAATTTAAAAATTTTTTATGATTTATGTAATTTATTTTTTAAATTAATGAAGTGTAGGGTGGAAGAAGCAGCAGTAGCCATGCTACTAAATGTTTTCACACTTCACTATTTGTTGGTAATATACTGATTCAGATTGTAGAATTTGGCACCAAGGATCTGAGATGTCACCCAAATTCAAACTGTTCTAAGAATTCAAAGAGAAAAAATAAATGCATGTAAACACGTGTCACAGGTAAGTCATGATAGAATCTGAAAAACGTCAACACACCTTCCTGGATTCTTTTTTGTTAAGCTCCCTGCTTCATATTTAAAATAACAGATACCTCAGTGACGCATATGAAAATTATTTTACAGAAAGGGAACAATACTGATCTTGAAGCATCTCCAATTATATACTCCAATAATTGCACAGTGAAGCAGTTCCATTACACACTTCACAATTACATAGCTAAACCTGGAATTTTCTTGCAGGCCTAGTCCAGTGAGCATGGGCTACATGAAAACTAGCAAATCCTCACGATGCCATATGAGAAATAGTGACCTAAGAAAAGATGCATATTTTAGTTCAGACAAAGAAAAGAGAGAAAGTTTTTTTAAAGATGGAGCTTTTTGGCTGTTTCACACCTGTAATCCCAGCACTCTGGGAGGCCCAGGCAGGCAGACTTGAGGTCAGCAGTTGAAGACCAGCTTGGCCAATATGGTAAAACCCTGTCTCTACTAAAACCACACACACACAAAAAAAAATTAGCTGGGTGTGGTTGCAAGAGCCTATGATCACAGCTACTTAGGAGGCTGAGCCAGGAGAATTGCTTGAACAGGGAGGCAGAGGCTGCAGTGAGCTGAGATCATGCCACTGCATTCCAGCCTGGGCAACAGAACAAGACTCTGTCAGGAAAGAAAATAAAAAAGAAAAGAATAAAGAGAGGTGAGGAAAGAAGAAGAAAAGAGAGGAGAGACCAAGGGAAGAGAGGGGAATAGAAAGAGAGATAGAAAGAGGAAAGAAAGAAAGATGAAAGCAAGCAAGGAAGCAATAAAGAAAACGAAAAGGAAGAGAAAGAAAGAAAGAAAATAGGAAGGAAGGAAGAAAAATGAAGGAGAGATAGAAGGAGAGAGGAAGGCAGGAAGAGAGGAAGGAAGAAAGGAGCCTTTGTTTATAATGAAAATAAATAATGTAAGGGGAATGATGAAAATGATATGCTGTAAATTGCTTAACACTTTGCTCTCTGGTGGAGGAAGGGAGAGATGAAAGGCTGATTTGATGTGTATGGTACTTTTTGTCATGTCAATCCATTGTGGATGATTTTGAGCAACTGATGTGGTGTCACTGGGCTCCAAATAAGAAAGAAATATACATTATTAGTGCACAAAAACAAGTATGCACCAACTCAACCATATAACTTGGCCACACCCCAGAAATATGTACATTCTAGGTTCATTTGCCATAAGCAGCCAGACAGACCAGATGCATCATGCTAAAAACATCTCATAGAATACTCCTCTCCATTATATTTCTCTATTAGAAGCTATCAGATAATTGATTTGCATATTCACAAAGAATTTTGATAAATTAATGTTTATTTTTTTTCAAGCATTCTCAAAGGCAGAAGAATAAGCTGCAGATGGTAGAAAATTTCTGCCTTTTTCTTCCAGTCGTGGATATAGAGAAATGTACATATAAACATTTATATAGATTTTACATGTATATTTTTAATTCTACAATGAAGGACTTTTTTTTTTTTTAATTCTACATGGACTTTTTAAAAATTCTACCTAAAGGGACTTTATTTTTAATTCTACATAGAGGGACTTTTTAAAAAATTAAGATGTCTGTATATCTACATGTGCATTATATTTTATTTTAATTCCACCATTTTCTCACAATGTTCAACAACTTTGAAGAAATCAGACCTTTCAGTTTTTAGCTATCTCTTTTTAGTTGTTTCTTTTTAAATAGAATATTATTTTCTGATTTAATAAAACCTTTTTTTGGAAGAAAATAAAACAAAATTTCAGTTTAAAAGACAAAGCATATAATTTTTGTTACTAAGGGAACTGCTAATGGACATGTGGAAATTATGGTTATAACATGGAGTTTTGAAATTATCAAAACAGAAAAAGTTGTTTTTGGTTACTTTGAGAGGCAGAAAGTAGTAGTAAGCATACCTGTAGCTTTCCAAAGATTATATTAGACAATGTATGTGAAAAACATCAGTGAATATGATGAACGTGTGACCAATGGAAAAACAATAGTATTGTGTGTTATAATTTGCATGTTTCAAGTCATCTCGTTAAGATCATGAGCTCTTTTGAGACCCATATTGTATAATTATTTTGTTTAAATTATTTCAAATAAATTGTAAAATAATTTTGCTGGCATATCAAAAATAATTATATTAGAATAAAATTTCTATTGTTAATAGTGTAATAGGTATAATCTCATTCCTCTTGTGCAAGAAAAGTATCATTTTTAACTTTTCGGTAACTCAGTTGATTCCTGTTTCAAAAAACCTGTTTATTAGGATGCAAAGATATCTTTTATGCTGCTTATAATTCTTGCAATTTCCTGAGTTTTTTCTAATTTCCAAGATGCTTATACACTGTAAACTTTCTTGCTACCATCTTGACTATGAATGGTGCATATTGTAAGTGATATCATTTGTCTACTGAGGAACATTTATCAATGTCCAATATACTTTGAACATAATGGTTTAAATACATTATAGAATTCAAATTAATTTCACCTGTTTCTTTATACTGCATGAGTGTCTAAGTGTCCACATTATTCTTAGTGTAGTTGTATTACATTACCATTAGACTCGAATCTGACCAACCATGAGTGTAGGAAGGTTAAAAAAGAAAAGGAGAGAGAGAAAAGAAACGATGAAGGGAAAAATTCTTCAGCTCTAGAACTTAGAAAGGGCTGGAAAAATTACCGTGTTGAAAATGTGCTTGTGCAATTAAATCAAAATTTCCACTGAGTTGTGATGAACAAAAAGAGTAAACCAGATACTCAAGTTATGAATGTTGTTACCACACAACAGCTAAATGCTGAGACAAATGGAAAGTGAAAAAGAGAATAAGTTTCTTTTTTTAAAAAAAAAAAAGATTTGAGATTATATAAAGATGAAGGGGTAGATATGGTGTAGAAGTAGAAATTTGGATAATAATATATGCTCGTATAACTAATATAGTATTCCTTAGTTTTGTGCCTTTCAATACTAACACCTTTTCTGAATAATAGCTATAATAAAAAGTTTAAAAGTAAGTTCTAATAATGAGAAACTCCACACATATTTTAGGTCATAAAGGGATTAAGCAATGATAAAGGCCATGCCTAGCTAGCATCTTAATTTTACTGACAACATTATGGACATCGTTTTTAAAATCCTGCTTCACCTATATGTGTCCATCATTATCAGTATGAAAATTCTTTGTCTTATAATGAAAAGTAAATATTTGGGAAAATACCAAATCTGCAACATATACCAGTCAAATTATATTCTTTCTGAAGAGTGCCTACTGGTTTGGATTGTGCGCAAACTATTTCATATCATTTGCAAGGCTGACAGGGTTGTTACAGAAAGTGGATTGTAAGTATTATGTAGCAGGGCATGAGTACAAAACTACTTTTCATTTTGAGAGAATTTTCAATTGTGTGTGTTTGTGTGTGAAACAGAATTATTTAGAATCCCTCCCTGTCCCTACTTTACCACTTCTCTTACCTACTATTCTATTCTTCATGTCTATAAGCTCAGCTTTTTAGCCCCACATATGAGTAAGAACATGCATTTATTTTCCATGCCTAAATTATTTTACTTAACCTAATATCCTCCAGGCTTATCCATGTTGCCCTGAATAAAATGATTTTATTCTTTTTTATGGCTGAATCGTATTCCATGGTATCTATCATCTATCCATCTATATAGTTCCACCTTATCTTGGCTTAAGTCCATTCCGTATCTTGGCTACTGTGAAAAGTGCTGCAATAAATATGGGGGTGTGTGCATATATAACTTCAACACACTGGCACACCTAATTTTTCGCACTTTATATTTCACATATATTTTCTCTTTTAGAACATGAAGTTTTGTCATGAGTCTGCAATGAACAAGTCTACTGATGTCATTTGTCTAAAAGTATGGGCTCACTTCATGGCTCTGTGTCACATTTTGGTAATTCCTGCAATATTTGAAATTACTGTATTTTGTGATCAGATGTCTTTGATGTTACTTTTGTCATTGTTTAGGGGTGCCATTAGCACACCAATATAAGATAACAAATTTAATTGATAAATGTTGTATGTGTTCTGACTGCTCCACCACTGGCAGTTTCCCTGTATTTCTCCCTCTCCTTGAGCCTCTCTGGTCCCTAAGACACAACAGTATTGAAATAAGGCCATTTAATAACACTACAGTGACCACTAAATGAAAAGGAACAGGAAAAGTGACCTGTGTCTCCCTTAAATCAACAGCTAGAAGTAATTACGCTTAATAAAGAAGGCACCTCAAAAGCTAAGATAGGTTAAAGCTAGGCCTCGAGCCAAACGGTTAGCCAAGTGGTGAATGCCAATGACATGTTCTTGAAGGAAATTAAAAGTGCTACTGCAGTGGACACACGAATGATATGAAGGCAAAACAGCCTTATTGTGATATGGATAGTTTGTGTGACTTGGATAGAAGACCAAACCAGCCAAAAAATTTCTTTAAGCCAAAGCCTAATCCAGAGCAAGGCCCTTACCTTGCTAAGGTAATTCTGTGGAGGCTAAGAGAGATGAAGAAGCTATAAAAGGAAAGCATGAAGCTAGGAGAGTTTAGTTAATGAGCTTTAAAAAAAGAGCCATCTTCATAACATAAAAGTGCAAGGTGAGATTGCAAGATCGGAGGTAAAAGCTGCAACAAGTTACCCAGAGGATTTAGCAAACACCACCTGTGAAGGAGGCTACACCAAAATGACATTTTCCAAATGTAGACAACACAGCCCTGTTTTGTCTCTCTCTCTCCCAGTATGGGAGAGAGATGCCATCTAGGACTTTCACAGTTAATGGAATGATGGCAATGTCTTCCTTCAAAGCTTCAAAGCCCAGCTAACACTCTGCACGTATTAATACAGCTGGTGACTTTAAGTTGAAGCTGATGTTCATTTACCATTCCAAAAATCCCAGGGCTCTTTCTAAATCAGCTCCGCCTGCGCTTGCAATAGGAACGATAAATCCTTTCTGACAGGACATCTGTCTGTAGCATGGATTACTGAACATTTTAAGGCCACTGTTGATACCTATTGGTAAGAAAATGTTCATTGACAATGTATCTGGTCATGCAAGAGCTCCAGTGAAGATGTACAGGGAGATTTATGTTGTCTTCATGCCCACTAACACAACATCTACTCTACAATCTATGCATCAAAGAGTAATTTAGAGCTTCAGGCCCTATCATTTGTTGAGGCTAGGACTGCCATAGATAGTGATTCCTCTGATAGTTCTGGGCAAAGTAAGTGGAAAACCTTCTGCATAGGATTCACAATTCCAGATGCCATTACGGAAATTCATGATTCATTGGAGGAAGTAAAAATATCAATGTTAAGGGAAATTTGGAAGAAATTGATTCCACCCCTCATGGATGACACTGAGGGTTCAAAACTCCAGTGAAGGAAGTTATTGCAGATGTGGTGGAAACAGCAAGAGAACTTGAATTAGAAGTGGTGCCTGAAATGTGACTTAATTGCTACAAATTCATGATAAAACTGATGAGGAGTTGTTTCTTATGAATGAACAAATGTAAGTGGTTTCTTGAGACGGCATCTACTCCTGATGAAGATGCTGTAAACTTTGTTAAAATGATAACACATAATTTAGAACTTAGTTGATAAAGCAGCAGCAGGGCTTGAGAAGATTGATTCTAATTTTGAAAGAAGTTCCACTGTGGGTAACACTACCAAACAACATTAGATACTATAGAGAAATCATTCAGGAAAGAAAAAGTCAATTGATGTGGCAAAAAAACATGTTTAAATATTTTCATTACTTTTTCTCATCAGATATTACATTTTTGTCACAAATCTTTTTTAAGTAGTTTTTATTTGAAGTAACTACATATTTATAGTTGTTTTATTGTACTAAATTGCCACAGCCATCCCAACTTTCAGCAACCACCACTCAAATCAGTTAGCAGCCATCAAGACAAGACCTTCCATCAGCAAAAAGATTACTACTCACTTAAGATGGTTAGTATTTTAACTAACCGTAAGGGGCAGAATCAGTTTCTTCCAAATTTCCCTTAATGTTGATATTTTTACCTCCTTCCATGAATCAGATTTTCTCAATGGCATCTAGAATGGTGAATCCCATGCAGTAGGTGGTTGTTGTCACCACCTGACGGGGTCTGTCCCGTACACTCTTAATCGATAAGGGATGAATATGATAAAATACTAACCATCTTAAATGAGTAGCAACCTTTTTAATCTTAATAAAATATGTTTGTCAATTAAAGTATGTACATTGATTTTAGATATAATGTTTTTATACGCTTAAACTACACTATAAGGTAAACATAATTTTTGTACACACTAGAAAATCAGAGTATATGTGTGACTTGCTACATTGTGATGATTAGAAATCAAAACAGCAGTCTCTCTGAGGCATGCCTGTACTGATTTATTTCCCTTTGAATAAATATCGGGGTGTAGATTATTGGATCATATGATAGTTCTATTTTTAATTTTTTGACTAACTGCCATAATGTGTCCCATAATGGCTGTACTATTTCTAAGTGGTCAAATAAAGAAAATAGGCCTTTAGATATCGATCAATCCTCTTGTTACATAGGGACTATTAGAGAAAGGAAATTTTCTATTTTTTATAACTTTTCACTTTGCTTTACAACCATAGTTACCTACATTTATTATAACATCCGTTGTTCAGATGAGGTTACTAACTTTCTATCCTCTCTGCTTTTTGAAGCTTAGGTTCTAAATGAAAAGGGTATGTGTTCTAATGGAATTCTCCCCTGGGGCACATTGAGTCATTTTATACAATGACACACTAAGAAAGGCAATTTATGATGTGTGACTGACTGTAATGTGACTTTTTCATCATTTCATTTGTTTTCCATTAGTCAGAAAAAAGACATAAGAACTACATACAAATCTTTTTGTTGCACTCCCCAGGGATTTTCTAGTATATTAAATTCTGGTAGAATACAATATTTTATAAAGCTTAGAAAAAATGATTCTCAAAAATGTATTTTTTACCTTTAAATCTCTATCAAGAATTCCTACAACATTCTTAAAAGCATCTAATTTTTTTTAAATAAAGATATCTTCAAAAATATTTAAATAGCTGTTTAAAACTTTAATCAGTAATTCTAAATAATTTTCAGCTACAATTCAGAGTTCTGAAACCACTGTCATTCAAATATAAATTGAGATGATATCTCCAATTATATAATTTAAGTAAATAAATCCTTCTTTTTGGTTATCTAATAGGTTTTCCATCACAGTTTTTCCACTACTTGGATTTCTAATAAATTGTCAGCTGTAAACATGCAAATATCATTGTGATAAAGAGTATCATATAAGGTATGGAGACTATTTACATAACATCTTTAGTCTAGTGAGGTTTTACTCCTTAAATAACGTTCATCACTATATTCCCTTCCCACCCTATTTTCACACTAATTTCTTTGCTGTTATTTTCATTAGATATCTGTAGTAGTACTCTTGGTTTTCTCACCTTTTCTTACCCTCTTCATGCTTACTTTTTAGTATTATTTGAGATATAATATAAATATTAGCACATTAATTCAATATAGTGACTCACTCATTTTTATTTGTTTAAATTTTTTGACATGGAGTTTCCCTCTTGTTGCTCAGGCTGGAGTGCAGTGGCACAATCTCCACAACCTGGGCCTTGCAGATTCAAGTGATACTCCTGCCTCAGCTTCCTGAGTAGCTGGGATTACAGGCATGGGGCACCACACCCAGCTAATTTTGCATTTTTTATTGGAGATGGGGTTTCTCCATGTTGGACAGCCTGGTCTCGAACTCCTGACCTCACGATCCAACCACCTTAGCCTCCCAAGGTGCTGGGATTACAGGAATGAGCCACTGTGCCTGGCCTTATTTTAATAATTTTTTTTTTCAGATTTTAAAAAATTTTGGGGATACATAGTAGGTGTATATATGTATGGGACTACACAAAATATTTTGATATAGACATGCAAATTGAAATAAGCACATCATGAGGAATGGAGTATCCATCCCATCAAGCATTTATTATTTGAGTTATAAACAATCCAATTACATGTTTTAAGTTACTTTAAAATGTATGATTATCAAATATAGACACCCTGTTGTGCTATCAAATAGTAGGTCTTATTCATTCTTTCCAAATATTTTCATTCCTATTAACCATCCTCTCCTCCCCCATTTCCCAGGCCTCCACTAACTTTCTCCACCTCTGATAATCATCAATCTATTCTCTATGTCCATGAGTTCAATTGTTTTGATTTTTATAACCCACAAATAAGTAATAACATGTGATGCTTGTCTTTCTGAACCTGGCTTATTTTACTTAACATAATGATCTCCTGTTCCATTCATGTTATTTCAGATTACTGGATCTCTTTCATTTTTATGGTTGAATGGCACTTTATTGTGTATATGTACTACATTTTCTTTATTCATTCTTCTGTTAATGAACATTTAAGTTGCTTCCAAATCTTAGCCATTATAAACAGTGCTGGACAAACATAAAAGTGCATATATCTCTTTCATATACTGATTACCTTTATTTTGTGTATATACCCAGCAGTGGGATTGCTGGATCTTATGGGAGCTAACATTGTAGTTCATTAAGAAGACTCTAAATTGTTTTCATAGTGGATGCAGTAATTTACATTCCCACCAACAAGGGTTCTTTTTTCTCCACATCCTCACTGGCATTTGTTACTGCCTGTGTTTTGGATATAAGCCGATTTAACTGAGGTCTGAAAATATCCCATTGCAGTTTTGATGTGCATTTCTCTGATGGTCACTGATGTTGAGCACTTTCTCATATGCCTTTTTGCCACTTGTATGTCTTCTTTTGAGAATTGTCTATTCATATCTGTTGCCCATTTTTTTTAGCAGATTATCAGATTTTTTTCTATAGAGAAGTTTGACCTCCTTATATATTCTTGTTATTAATCCCTTGTCAGATGGGTAGTTTGCAAATATTTTCACCCATTCTGTGAGCTTCCTTTTGTTTATTGTTTCCTTTGTTGTGCTGAAGCTTTTTAACTTGATATGATCCCTCTGTCCATTTTTGCTTTGGTTGCCAGTGTTTGTGGGGTATTTCTCAAGAACTCTTGGCCCAGACCAATGTCCTGGGATTTCCCCAATGCTTTCTTGTAGTAGTTTCATAGTTTGAGGTATTAGATTTAAGTCTTTAATCTATTTTGATTTGATTTTTTTTTTGTAGATGGCAAATGCTAGGGTTCTGGTTTCATTATTCTGCATGTGATTTATTCAAGAGACTTTTCCCTAGTGTATGCTCTTGGAAACTTCCTTGAAAATGAGTTCACTATAGGTGTGTGGATTTGTTTCTGGGTTCTCTACTCTGACTCATGTGTCTGTTTATATGTGAGTACCATGACGTTTTGGTTGCTATAGCTCTGTTTTTTAATTTGAAGTTAGGTAATGTGTATCCTTTTTTCTTTTTCTTCTTTTTTTTTTTTGCTTAGGGTATCTTTGGCTCTTCTGGGTCTTTTGTGGTTCCATATAAATTTTAGGATTGTTTTATCTATTTATGTGAAGAATGTCATTGGTATTTTGATGTGAATTGCTTTGACTCTGTAGATTGCTTTTGGTAGTATGTACATTTTAACAATACTGATTTGTTCAATCCATTAACATGGAATATTTTTCTTTTAGTGTTCTCTTCAATTTCATTTATCAGTATTTTATAGTTTCATTACAGAGATCTTTTTTTAAGTATTAATTTTGTATGTGTCAATTGTAAATGGACTTTTTTTTAATTTGTTTTTCACATTGTTCACTGATGGGATATAAAAATGCTATCATTTTTGCAGGTTGATTTTTCTGTCTTGGAACTTTACTGAATATTTTATCAGTTCTAATAGTTTTCTCGTGGACACTTTGGGTTTTTTTCCAAATATACCATCAATATACATTTCGAAACAGCGATAATTTGATTTTTTCCTATCCAATTTGGATGCATTTATATCTTTGTTTTGTCTCATGGATCCAGCAAAAGGTTGAATAACAATGGAAACAGTGAGCATCTCTGTCATGTTCCAGATCTTAGAAAAAAGGTTTTCATTTTTTCCCCATTTAATATGACACTACCTATGATTTTGTGGTACATGGCTTTTATATGTTGATGTACGTGTCTTCTAGCCCCAGTTTTTTGAGAGCTCTTATCAGTAATGGTACAGTATTTTATAAAGTGCTTGTTCAGCACCAATTGTAATGATCATATAGTTTTTATTTTTCATGCTGTCTATACGATGTATCACATTGATTGATTTTCATATGTTGAACTATCCTTGCATCACAGGGATAAATTCCACTTGGTCACGATGAATAATCCTTCTAACATATTATTGAATATGATTTGCTAGTATTTTGTTGATTTTCACATCAATATTTATCAGAGATGTTGGCCTGTAGTTTTCTTTTCCTTTTTCTTCTCTTCTTCTTTTCTTTTCTTTTCTTTTTTTTTTTTAATGTATCTTTGTCTGGTTCCAGTATCAGGTTAATACTGGCCTTATAGAATGAGTTTGGAAGCATTTCCTCCTCCTCATATAGTTTCAGTAGGATTGGTATTCGTTCTTTTTTAAGTGTTTGATAGAATTCAGCAGTGAGGTCATCAGGTCTCAAGCTTTTTTTACTGGGATGTTTTTTTATCATTACTTAAATCTCCAGTTCAGATACTGCGCTTCTCCCATGGTCTTTATAGCCCATAGACCAGGAGATTCCTGTTGCATTGAATCCCTGAATTGATGAAACTATTCCAAACAACACAAAAGATGGAATCCTCCCTAACTAATTTCATGAGACTAACATCATCCTGACTCCAAAACCTGACAGAGACACAACCAAAAAACAAAAAAATTCAGGCCAATGTCCATGATGAACATTGATGCAAAAATCTCCAATAAAATATTGGCAAACTGAATGCAAAAGCACATCAAAAAGCTCATCCATCATGATCAAGTAGGCTTCTCCACATTTTCAACAGATACCAGGTTCATCTCAATGGGACTGGTTGGACAGTGGGTGTAGCCCAAGGAGAGCAAACCAAGGCAGGGTGGGGTGCTGCCTCACCTGGGAAGTGCAAGGGGCAGAGGACCCCCCACCTCCCCGCTCCCACTCAACAGAGGCCATCGGGGACGTTACCAGCCATTCCTCCGGCACTCCAGTTCAGATACTGGCTTCTCCCATGGTCTTTACAGCCCACAGACCAGGAGATTCCCACTGGATTGACAAGCAGGTCAGGTTTCCAGCATAAAACTGCACGGCTGCTGTAGCTGGCACCCGAACACCTGTGAGACAGAGCCGCCCATTCCCCTGAAAAAAAGGGGGCTGAAGGCAGGGAGCCAAGTGATCTGGCTTGGTGGGTCTCACCCCCATAAAGACCAGCAAACTGAAACCCATTGGCTTGAGATTTTCACAGCCAGCACAGCAGTTTGAGCTCAGCCTGGGACAGTCAAGCTTGGTGGGGGGAATGGCATCTGCCATTACCAAGGCAGTTCTAACCTTACCTGTGTAAGCAAAATTTCAGGAACTCTTTTATATGGTATTTGCTTTTTTTCTCTTGCTTCTTTCCAGATTTTTTTTTTGTCTTTGACTTTTGACAGTTTAATTACACTATGTCTTAATATAATGTTATTTGTATTGAAGCTCATCAGAGATCTTCCTATATCTGGATTATTTACATCTATCTCTAGGTTTGGAAGGTTTCCCCTGATTATTTCTTTAAATACGCTTTCTATCGATTTATTTTTCTCTTCTCTTGAACTCCAATGACTCAAATACTTACTTGTTCAATACTATCCCATAAATCCTATGAGCTTTCTTTTCTTCTATGCATTTTTAAAATATCAGTGTTATATTTTTTTCTTCTGCTTAATCATTTCTGCTGTTGATACTTTCTGTATTGCATTTTCATGTTTTCCATTGTATTATTTAGCTCCGATTTTTATTTCATATTTTTAAAATGTCAATCTTTCCATTGTTTCTTTTCCTGTTCACTTACAATTTTTCTTATTTCAATGAATTGTTTTTCAGTATTTTTTAGAAGTTTACTAAGATTCTTTGAAACAGATATTTAAAATTATTTGTCAGATGTTTCATAATTTTCATTTCTTTAATATTAATCACTGGTACTATATTATTTTATTTGGTGATGCCATCTTTTACTGATTATTCTTGATCCTTGTGTCTAGACATTAATGTCTGCACATGCGCAGAAGTGGATACTTATTGTAGTCCTTGCAGACTGACTTTTTCTAGGAATTCCCCTCAACAGTAACCCTGTCAAGTTTCTGAATAGGCTACCTGTGCGGTCCCTTAACCCAGGACCACATTGGTCACTGCAGTACTGAAGGATGCCCTTAGCTAAAGACTTCTGAGGCTGATGCAGTGCTGGGCTGGAATCCCATGGATGTTCAGGCTAGTTTGGCCTGGTACATGCCTGGAGTCTTTTCAGGGTCTGTCTGCCACTGAGGTTACCTAAGGGTGCTGTAATTAGCTGAGGGTGATGTAGACTGAAGATTGAGTCTACTTCACAGAACCTATGTATTTCTACCTGGGTTCAAGGCATATCTGGAAGCCATGGATACCAGCATGAGTCAGAAGCTGTGAGTATCTGGTTTGCTGTGTTTTACTGGGGTAGGTCCAGCATTTGTTTCCAAGGAAAAGTCCTATGCTCACTTCCCTTTCTTTTCCCAATTTGGGAAGTATCACTATTCTTGTTATGCTACCCAAGGTTGAAGGACGGGCGACACAGATAATGTAAAAGTACTTTTTCTACCCTTTTCTTATGATTATATTATAAACAGGTATTGTGACCATTCATCTGGTCTCCTTAGCTCTTATGAAGGTATTTTTATGTATAGATAGTTGTTCAAACTAATGTTTCTGTAAGGAGAATGATCACTGGTGAGTCCTGTCCCACCATCTGGCTCCTTGGGCAATATCTAACCAACATATTTTATCATCATCTGCCACTAAATCTATCTTTCTGACTTGACTGTAAAAGCTTAAGGCAGAGGATTAGTTACGCAATTATAAATTGATGCAGAAGGTACACAAAATCTAATAAGTAAAGAGTAACTTAAATAGTTTTTACCTTAAGAACTTCTTTAAAATGTAATTATTAATGTTAAGATCAAACAGACATGATATTCTGTTACTCAACCTGACAAAAATGAAAAGTAATATTCCTTTATTGTATAATTTCTTATTTCTGTTAAAATGTTTCAATGTATCATTTTATTATAATTTTTAATATCATAGTCGTCTTATCTATGCAGTTTAGAAAATACCCTGTAGGACTTGTGAAATATTAAGTTGTGACATTCACAAGGACAATAAAATCAAATCAGCATAATTTTTTGGCATTATTTTGTGAATAAACATATAGAAAAATTCCAGAGCAAAGAACTCTTTATTGGGTAGCTGAATGCCTTGAGGGGCACACACAAAAGATGGTTGCATTGTGCTCACTTTGATATGACCTACGGTTTCTCTGTAACTGCTCTATATAAATATGCTTATCATAGCTATGTTATATTGTCCTGTATTATAGGTAGCATTACAAAAAGATAGGAATTCTAAAATTACATGTTTATAGTGAGATGGCCACAGTTTTGTTTTAAACAAGGACACATTTATAATATAATAAGATTTATTTTATAAGTATTTTTTCTACTCTTTTTTAGCATCAAGCTTTCCATTCCTTCCAGATCTTCCTCTATTCTTAGTGGATGAAGGAGGAAATAATAGCAATAGGAAGCGTTGAAGTGCTGTTAAGGAGGGTTACACTTAGCAAGAAGAAGCTTTGAAGTGCTGTTAAGAAGGGTTACACTGAAACGGAGGTAACATTCTGACAGTCACATCAAAGGTTATTTACTGATATTTACAAATACAATAGGGACTTATTTACTCCATGATATGTTGATCTCTAACTCTTTGGAATAACAATATAATTTTTTAAAGCAACATTATAGTTTAGTTTGGGGGCATAGTACATATTTTCTTAAGTCTCCTTCTACTGTGTAACTCACAATGTTTAGAAAGTTTCTCAAAATCTGATCCACTGAATACTCGCATCAGAATTCCCTGGGTATGAATGTAAACTTTTGAGTCCTTGTAACAATTAAATCGTAAGTTCTGGTTTTGAATTTCAGAATTCCTATTTTCAGCAAGGTTCTTAATAACCTTTCTGTAAAATGAGACATACTGGCTTACCAGGCTGGAGGTTAATAAACACCTGTTTATTTGGCCATTATACTACCATGAACTATGATTCATGAAATTTGATATAGTACTATATGTATATACACACATACACAAACAGTGAAAACAATATTTAAGGATTAACTAATCATTTAATAATTTTAGTCTAATGTGGTCCAATTAATCCAAAATATTATTAGTAAAATTGCTTTTTCATACTTTTGCTTCTTTTTGTTAATATGTATCAAGAGACAGGTGAAACCAAGATTAAACAAATACTTCAGAGACTTCTTTCTACTTTTAGCAAAAGTGAACTAACATGCATGAGAATTAGTCTCCTGACTGGAATAAACAAGAAAAAAGAAGTAAAATATATAAAACAGTTGTATTTCAGATGGTGAGAGTCAGTCAAAAAGGAATGTGAGCTCAAGGAGAAGGAATACTTATAAGACATACCTGCATTTACCCTGATTATTGTACTGAGAGAATTTCCAGGACTTTGGGGTGGTGAAACTCAAATGTAGCCCAAAGTGTGTTTGTCTGAACTGAGGAGATGAAGCTGAGTTTAGGGAGACCATGGGAAAGAGTTAGCAGGACACAATACTGGAAAGAATAGAGCTGTTCATAGAACTCCAGAGATCTGAAGAAGTTACCTCTCAAATATGCAGCATGTAATACAACAGAACAGCACATGCATGAAATTAAAAGCCGGCAAAAGAATGACATAAAAGGATTAAAGAATTTTAGAGAATGGTGCCCAGGGTTTACACAGGGCCAGCATTAGTGCCTGTTCTCTTCACCTATACCAGAAAAACTCCATTCACAGAGTGTTGGGTAACAGTATTCAAGAAAATCCTGTTTCAGTAACAATTAGCCCTAGACTAAGCAATGGAACCTAAAAAACCTAAAATCAAGACTCAAAATGAACAAACTTATTCCAAATAAGTTTAAAAAAGAACACAACTCAATAATATTATAGGAATCACCAGGTGTGCTATCCAAACGACCTCTGAGGTCACACAGCATTTCTTCCACTCTATTCTGTTGGTTGAAGCAATAATAAACTTGAATGATAATCAAGGAATTGTTCACACCTGTAATTCCAGCACTGTGGAAGGCTGAGGTGGGTGGATCACTTGAGATCAGGAGTTTGAGACCAGTCTGGCCAGCATGTGAAACCCCATCTCTACTAATAATACAAAATGTAGCCAGGTATGGTGGTGTGTGCCTGTTGTCCCAGCTACTTGGGAGGTTCAGACATGAGAATTGCTTCAACTGGGAAAAGAGGTTGCAGTGAGCCAAGGTAGCACCACCACACTGCAGCCTGAGTGACAGAGTGAAGCCTGTCTCAAAAAAGAAAGGAGGGAGGGAGGGAGAAAAGTATCAAAAAGGCCTGAAGATAATTCTATGAGCAGCAGTGATCAGAAAAAGAGGAAGCATTTGTTTATCTGTATCACAGAAAGTAAACCTATTGGAGAAACCAGACAGCAGTATACGTGTGAAACATCTTACAGAAGACTATGGTGTACGATTTTGAAATGACCTCTATCTATTATCCGAAGAAACAGAATGATGAACTGTTGAAATTCTATGCTAATAGTTGATTAGAAGTTACTGAAAAATAAAAAAGCATAGTGTAAAGCTGAAATTGAAGATTGCGATTGTGTATTGGAAAAGTGGATACATCAGCATTACAGTGAACACGTGCCATTTAAAGGTGTGGTGGAATCATGAAGCAAGTGAAGATTCATCATGAAAATGGAAGGGAACTGAGTATTCAACAGTGTACTGCCACAAGAATATTAGAAAATATGTGGGATTAAATTTTAAAATATTTGTGGGATAAAGCATCTGCTAACTGCAAAGCAGCAAATTCACTGACAATTTTGCTAAGTTAACTGCTGACAGAACAAATCTACAAGGGTGATGAAGCATCACTGTTTTGGTGTTACTGCCCCAGAAAGACAGTGATTACAGTGGGTAAGACAGATCCCACAGGAATTAAGGACGTCAAGGACAGAATAACTGCGCTGCAGTGTGCTAATGCAGCAGGCATGCGTAAGTGCAAACTTGCTGTGAAAGGCAAAGCTTTTGTCATCGCTGTTTTCAAGAAACGAATTTCCAAGTCTATTATGCTAACCAAAGGCCATGGACCAGCAGGAACATGTTTCCCAATTGGCTTCACATTTTATACCAGGAGTTTACACTCACTGAAAGGAAGCTGGGCTAGAATACTTCAAGATTTTGTTATTTCTTGAAAACTGATCTGCTCATCTCCAGTTGAAATTCTCATCAAAATAATCTTTATGTTATGTACTTTCTCCCAGACGTGACTTCCTTAATTCATTCATGTGAAAAAAATCAGTAAAGTGTAAATATGAAAGTGTGCTTTTCTAAACAGCGTGCTAGCAGCAGTGAACAGAACAGTGGAAGTGGGAGGTTTTCAAACAGAGTTTAGCATGAAGGAAACCATCCATGGTGTTGCCACCCTTGGAGCACAGTGACTAAAGGCACAGTTGTACTTGCCTGGCACAGTCTCTGGCCAGTAAGTATGTTCAGTGTTGATGATGAACAAGACTGTGACATTGAATAATTCTGTATGTCAATTGTGAACAAAATTGTATCTAACCTTACATATTTCAACATTTACCTTCAGAGTCTGTGAGTAAGCTGACAAGAAAGAAGTGAATATTGAAGTTTTTAACATCAATAATAAGGCTCCAGTTGTTCATTCTTCGAATCATGGTGAAATAGCTAAAA